AGGAGCTGTACTGAGAGACAGCAGGACTGGAGGAGCTGTACTGAGAGACAGCAGGACGAGGAGCTGTACTGAGAGACAGCAGGACTGGAGTAAGAGTGTAGGCAGTTATCTCTCTCAGTCCTCCTCTCTCATTTTCAGTGTGACATGTTATATAGGAACTGTCTCTCCTCTCCCAAACTAACACAAATGTGAAGCCTTAAATTAATGCAGTAATTATGATTAAGATGATGTCTGATGTCAGAACAGCATAATGATGATGATAACCTTCCACAACGTGCCTTTGATGATGATAACCTTCCTTATTGTGCCTTCTAAGAAATCAGGTCTTCGTGTGGTTATGTATTTTTTTCTGCAGGGAGAAAACACCCCAGTCTTATCTCTGTCACTGAGGGTCAGAATGTGAAACAATGTTTTGGAGTTTTTCCTGCGGGGGGTTTTGCTCTCCACGCGGAATGGGAAGGCAGACTCACCTGGCAGAGCGGTCAAACATTTCAGCCCACGACACACACGGAGACCTGGACGGCGGTGTGTCATGCCGGGGTTTTTTGAAAAACCGGGAGCGCCAATATTCGATGTCATGATCGGGGCACCTTCTGTGTGGAGCGCGCGTGGTCCTCCTGGGCTCAAATGGGTCTCCTCCCACAGTCCAAACACGTGAGCTGGCCTTGTGCCCATCCTCTGCCAGGTGAGGTGCCACCCTGTGTGGGACTGAGTGGGTATTAACAGGGTGTGGGTTCTGGCCGGTTATTTTTATTCTTATTAATTTATTTATTTGCTTAGCAGCTGCACTTATCCAGGGTGATGTATAATACAAGTATGACATATGCATTAGGTTGGTAACAATCATGTACATACAACTTGAGAGGTTAATAAAATGACTTATTGACTCAGTGATGGGATTTTTTAGTCCCTATAATTCCCTGTAAACCTGACCCTGCAGGCCCCCGGGTCCAGAGGTGGTAAGACCACTTAAGAGGGCTGCGGTGGACGCTGATTCAGTTTCTGGAGGAGCCTGCTTGATGGCTCTCCCTGACCCCTTCCTTTCTGTAGGGTTAAAGGTCAGAGAAAGGTCAAGGCCTTGATATCTTACAGTTGCTGACCCCAGGCCAGGCCTGAAAGCCTAGCAGTTGTACCTCGGGCAGCATGTATCTATGTGTTAGTCAACAAGCCTGTCTTAAGACCAGAGGAGCCAAACCAACAGATTAACTTGGACCAAAACACCCAGGTTATGGAGATCAGCCAGATGCATTCTGGGGTTTGAGGAAATGTCCTACACTAACAGGCTGAAGGAACTAAATCTTTACAGTGTCGATCACAAAAGACTACAAGAAAGTCAGATCCAAGGATTCAAAATCCCCCAAGGCACTGACCTATGTGAAAGTATATATGAAGCTGAGAACAGGAGGTTCTTTACACAAAGGAAGGTGGGAGTGTGGAACAAGCTGCCAGCACTATTGGTGAAGCTGATACTCTGGTTTCAATAAGCTACTAACTACCTAACAGGCTGGCTGGGCTCATATCCTTGTGCTCTGAGGTGCCGTGAGAATTACAGCTCAGGAAGCAGGAGAGCCTGTCCTGTCTGCTCTGCTCAGGGGAGGACCTCCTGCTGCCCGAAAATATGAGAAAAAACAGACAGAAAAAATTGAAACCAATTTTATTAAATTTACAAACGTTACAGAAAAAACTGCAAACTCTGAACATGGATTTATTTCCTAATCATGACCATATCGGTTTGAGGGAAGTGTTTTAATGCTCCATTCCACTTCTTACCAACCTCTTCTTAACAAAGGAAGCATGCGTAGTGAAAGGAATATGCACTATATAAACACCGACAC